GAAGGGGAAGTCCAACAGAGACTTAATGAGGCGCTGCCCTCCCCACTCAACAACCTGGACCCCAGCAGGCATTCTCATCTGTGAGCAGCAGTGACAGCACCCAGGTCACCCCAGCGCCTCCACAGCTGGGCCCCTGGACAATCCATCTGCCCACAGCTGTGAAGCTGTTACTGAGCCAAGCTTGGGTCCACTCGCCCATGCTCAGTAAAGCCAGTCTACTGACAGGATTGTGGTGAAGGAAAGAGCGATGTCTATTGCAAGAACCAAGCAAGGGGTCCGGGCAGCTCATGCTCAAGAGCCCTGAACTCCCCGTTGGGTTTCAGCAAAACAGTTTTAAAGACCAGGTGAGGAAGGGGTATCCCAGGGTGTGTGATTAGGTCATGAACAATTCTCTGATTGGCTGAGGGTGAGATAACAGGGTGATGTCACAGGGGTGACATTATCCATTCTTTGGCACCAGTAGGGCTGGGGCTGCATGCTCATGATCAGCAGGTAGTCAATTTCTTCTTTTTGGGGGAGGCTTTAGCACCTATAAAACAGGTGATGTGCATTGGGTACTATTACCTAGGTACTTCTTTTTTGTGCTTGTATGCTTAGTCTTGTCCGACTCTTTGCAACTCCCTGGATTGTTGCCAACCAGGCTTCTTTGTCGATGGGATTTCTTAGACGAGAATACTGGAGTGGGTTGCCATTTCCTTCTGCAGGGAGTCTTCCCGACCCAGGGAGTGAAATCGCATTGACTGTGTCTCCTGCATTGCAGGTGGATTCTTTACCCACTGAGCCATAGGGGAAGCTTTACTTCTTTTTAAAAATGTGTTTATTTATTTATTTGGCCACACTGAGGCTTAGTTGTGGCATGTGGGATCTAGTTCCCTGACTAGGGATCAAACCCGGGGACTCCTGCTTTGGGAGCATGGAGCCTTAGCCACTGGACCATCAGGGAAGTCCCTACATAGGCACTTCTGAGAGGAGCCATAGCAGAGGATACGGGGTCTGTCCTGGGAAGACAACACGGGGTCTTGCTCTGTTATAAAGCCTTGTGTCTCCTTGCCCTCCACCCAGTGGCATAGGGAGACCCAGGCCAGTGGTTTCTTCCCCACCACCCTGAGGTTCACCCAGTGATGGCACGTGGCCCAGAGCAGTGCCTCCTGGCCCCACAGACACCACCAGCAGAGGCTAAGTGGACCGAGTGGGACCCCCAGCAGCACAGGAAGAAGGAAGACCCATGGGACTCAGTGAGGACTCAGGACACTAAAAGGTCTTGAACTGAAGCCCCCCAAACTAGGCCAGGACCTACACCTCAACTAAACAGATGACTGCTGCTAAAACCGAAGATTTTATCAGGATGGAGTATCCTAACATAATAGCCAAAATGTCTCGGATATAATACAAAATCACTGGTGCTACCAAGAGCCAGGAAAACTCCTGGATGAGAAAAGACAGTGGACAGAGGCCAATACTTAGATGAGTCAGATGTCGGACTTACCTGGCATGAATTTTAAAGCAGCTGTCATATATCAGGGGTGGGCCCAGCTTCACTGGGGTTGAGTTCAACTTCACTGGGGTGGACCCAGCTTCTTTAGGGTGGGCCCATATTCACCCCTGGAGAAAGAAATGGCAACCCACTCCAGTATTCTTGCCTGGAGAATCCCAAGGACAGAGGAGCCTGGTGGGCTGCTGTCTATGGGGTCACACAGAGTAGGACACGACTGAAGTGACTTAGCAGCAGCAGTCATATATCAATGTCAGTGCTTTAAAATCAATGTCAGAAAACCTTCAATAATCAATTATAAGTCATGGGTTTATAAAACATTAATACTTGGGATCAAGAGACCAAAGTATCATCTACTCACTCTGTGATTGTGGAGATGATTTTCAACCTTACTGAGCTTCTATTTCTCTGTTTGCAAGATGGAAGTAGTATATTTTATCTGGTAGTGAGCTGAATCATACAACAACACGCTGGCGACACTTTCGGTGCCTGCTCAACAACCATATCCCTTCTACACTGTTCTCAGGGAGAGAAGAAATGCTCCTGGCTGAGATTACACAGCTTTCCAGCCTCCCTTGCAGCTAGGATGGACCACAAGGCACACCTGGACGGTGGAGATGTGGGGGTTGCTGGAGAGAGCGTCCGCTCCAGAGCAAAGCAGGAAAATCTCACTGGGGTAAACCCTGTGCATATTGCGCTTTCCCTTTCTTTCCACCTGAAACTTGGATGTGAGGTCTGGAGCTGCAGCAGGTATCTGGCAACCAGGAGGAGAGGGTTAAGGGTAGAAGTTCTCCCTGCTAAGACTCCTGGAATGGAAAGATGAGCCTGGAGCCCTGAGGGCATGGCTGATGCTCCTGGCATGCAGTCACCTCTGAACTCCTTGTTTGGGGAGAAAACAAACACCTACTCTTGAGGCCACCATATATTGGGTTTTCTGAGATTGTAGCAGAATGTCCTGCTGATTTAATGAGGAAGGTAAGGAAGGGAGTGTTAGTGACAGTTCATTCAGAGCCGGGAACTATTCTGAAGGTGAGACAATCCTTTAATCCTCACGGCTACCGTGGGAGGTCGAAGCCAGTTCTGTCCCCCTTTCGGGGTGAGCACCTGACAAAGATACAGTAAGTAGAAGGAGGGGAGGAAGGCGGATGCCCCACCCTCCTTGTGCAGCTCAGTGAACTTTAGTGGTTGGTATTTCTTTGTCTTTTTTATGTTTGTGTGAGACACACTGGCCTTCCTCCTGCTCGGCCTCTCTTTCTGCCTCCTTCCTGCATCCTAACCTTCGGCCTTGTGCGTTCCACACGCTGCATAACCTCCTGTTCTAAAGCAGGCCACAGGGCAGAGGCTGTCAACATTCTAAAGTCCACTGAGGCTGGCCCGGGCTCTTGCCTGTGAGTCCTGCTTCCCCACCTTCAACACTGGACACCTTCCTGTGCTCAGAGAGTGTGAGAGAGCTCTGGGAAAATGCCGACAGCTGGACCAAGCGCCCACGCAGTTGGAAGGGGGGTCCCCTTGCAGCGGGATCCCCACAGTGGGAATGAGGTCCCATCTCACCCTCACTGGTCAGGCTCCCTCCTCCCCACCCCATGTCCCCCCCCAGGCCCACCCATGCCTCCATCTGGGCCTAGCTAGGGCCTCAAAGGCGTTCCATTTGTGGCCAAAGAGATTCATTCAAATGCATAATTAAAGACAGGGACGCGGCTTCTGCTGGAGGGTGGGCCCTGCACAAGCATGCAGGCGCCCTGCCCACCCTCACACATCTGTCCCCTGGGGTGGGGCCCACGGGACTCCCTCCGTTCCAGCCCAGCAGGGGCCAGTTGGTAGCAGGGAAGCCCAGAGCTCTCCAGGGCCTCCTGCAACCCTGGGGGGCACCCCTCTCTGATGTACTCACTCCCCCTTGGGACACAGAGCCCCCACCTCCCTCCTGCCCTTTGACTAGGAGACCCTCATCAAAACCTCACAATTACGGTGCGTCAGTGATGACTAGGGCCTTCCAGCCTAGAACATGGGGTATATTACCCCTGCCCCACAGTGTGATTTGAAATAAAGCCAAGCTAGGCCAGGCCAGAGAGAAGTCCTGACAATTCAGTGCCATGCCCCACCTTCGCCCATCCCCAGCCAAGAGTTTTTACCTACAGTCATTACTTGAATGTATTTTATTGTTTTGTTTTTAGTATTGAGTTTAAGAGAAATCTCATCTCTTGGTGCACCTGCCCTGCTTGGGGGGGGCCCAGGCCCCTGGCTCTTGGGGAAGCCCGCTCCCAGTGGATTCTCATTCATGACTGCAGGGACCCAGACTGGCATCACTTTGCCCCCTACTCTCCCCGCCCCATGCTCCTGGTCCAGCTGAGGGAGCCCTGAGTCCTCTGGGGCTGGGAGAGGGTGGGGCGGTGCCAGAGCCAGGATTTCCCTCCACCCACACATCCGGGGTTGAGACCCCTGGCCTGGTGCCCATCCCGGCCCCTGGACCTTGGGGCCAGCATAGACCCCCAGGGACCCCCCCACGGCGCCTGGGGCTCTCCAGCCAGGGCTGCCCTCGCTCTCCATCCCCAAACGGCAGCTCCTGCTGGGAAGTTGCTCCCGGCAAGTCCCTTCTGGCTGGAACCACCCAGGAGCCCCGGTCCTTGCCCCAGGCCCCACAGGGCAGACCCGAGGGGCGCCACTTCCGGCCACCGCTGTAGGGCAGGGTTCAGCAAGTGGGCAGGCCCGAAGGCGGGGTGAGAGAAGGGGCCAGAGTTATCCTAACTCTTGGGAGGCAGACGGGTGGGACCTTGGTCGACCATGTCCCAGGAAACAGTGGGAACCCATCTGCGAAGGTTGGCGGCTCAGCCGCGTCACGGGTTCTGTGGCTCCTGGCGCAGGGCCGGCCGCTGAGGCTGTAGGAGCATGTGTCCTGGGTTCCAGGGCACTGAGTCAGCGCTCTGCAGAGACGCCGGAAAGCCTCCTTCTCGTGCTCTGCACCCAGCACCCACTACCAGGGAACTTCCCCGGAGGGTGGGGTCCTTGCGGGTGTCGCTGCTGTGATGATCTCTGCGGCAGGCGGCTCTGGGCCCGCTGCTCCCTCTCCCCGCGGTTTGCGCCACTGCTCTTTCTCACAGCCGCTCTCTACCCGCCGGGCGGTGCACCCCACAGCTGACGCTCAGCGCCTGCTTTCTGCAGCCAGGGTCTGGGCAGGAATCAGCCAGAAGGGCTGCTGCCCAGGGCCCCCTGGGCAGAGGAGTGGGCAGAGATGAGGGAACTGGCACAGGAGGTGGACTTGGCCCTGGAGCTGGTCACAGTGGAGGTCACCGCAGGGGTCATAGTGGGGGTCACCGCGGAGGTCACCGCGGAGGTCACAGTGGGGGTCACCACGGAGGTCATAGTGGGGGCCACGGAGGAGGTCACAGTGGAGGTCACTGCAGAGGCCGTTGCCATGTTGGGTTTTAAGGCGGGTGAGAGTGTGTTTTCAGGCCCGTGGACTGTGGAGCTGTAAGAGGCCGTGTCACCAGCTCTGGGCGGGGGGGCAGCACACCCAGGGCTGCTGTGGGCAGGGAGGGGACATGGAGCATGCTCTCCAGGCCTGGCTGGCACCCCTCACTGGCTGAATCCGCTGGGAAGCCAGAACCAGGCAGGGCTGCAGTTGATGCTGGCCAGAGAGGTCAGGGTCTGGGACCCAGAGGGGGTGTGGAGCCTCTGGAGGGGCAAACAGCTCCCCCCCGCCGACCGTGGGCTGGCCCCGCATGTCCCTGAGTCCCCGGCAGCCCTTTCTGCCCAGGCTTCTGGGTCCCTCAGAGCGGCAGCTGGTGGTGTGAGAGGCTGCAGACCCCTCCCAAGTCTGCCGGCCCTCTGGCCCCAGGGCCCCTCCCCAGGCAGGCGATGTGAGAGGAGAACCCAGGGAGGATGGAGCCGCCCACCCCTCTGTCTCCCTCGTCCCACCTGATTTCGTTCCCAGCTGCAGGCCGGGCGCCCACAATGCTGTCTGCAGAGCCGGCGCCCAGAACACAGCTGCGAGGCCAGTGAGTAAGCGGTGCTGAGTCCCACTGCGCATTCACAAGGAGAGACCACCCCTCGGTAGTGGGGAGTGACCTCAGGCTCCGTGGGGGCTGGGGTGCAGCGCCGGTGTCCCCAGGGCCCTGTGAATGGAGCGCTGCCCCGGGCCTCTGTGCCTGGGCCCAGCTGCCCATCAAGTGGTGACCACCTGATCTAAGACTGGCTCCCGGACACGGAGCCCCGGTGCTGGGTGCAGCCCTGCACTGGATCACTTAGACAATGTCACTTGGTCCCCAGGGCGCTCCTGTGGGGTGAACACTGCTGCAAACATCCCCACTTTACCGATCAGCAGACCGGGGCTCAGGCAGGGTGAGTGTCGGTGGGGTGACTCTCCAAAGGTCGCTGGGCAGCGCGGTGGGGCTGGTTCCCTCTCAGGTCTGAGCTGCTCCACCAGGAAGGCCCCCTGGGCCACCGGCGCCCCCGTGCTGGTCCCGGGGAGATTGACAGCTGAGGCCAGACTCTGCTGACCCGCAGCTTGGCCCTTGGGTGGAGGTCAGGCATCAGCGCATGTCTCTCCAACCTCTCCATCACCTTTCCCTTCCAGACCCTTCTCTGACCCTTCACCTCAGACCTGCCCCCAGCACCCTAGCCTGGAGGTACCCCGTGCTTAGGTGTATCTGACTAAGCCAAGACACGGCCTAAGCCTAAGACTGAGGGACAGGGAGGCTTTGTCCTCCCTGGAGGGTCCTTCCACACCACCTGTCTGGGGAGGGGCCCTTGGCAGCTCAGTTTTGTCCAACTCCTTGCTACCCCATGGACTGCAGCCCACCAGGCTCCTCTGTCCACGGGATTCTCCAGGCAAGAACACTGGAGTGGGTTGCCATGCCTTTCCTCCCGGGGATCTTCCCAACCCAGGGATCGAACCCATGTCTCCCACATTGCCGGAAAATTCTTTACCGTCTGAGCCACCAGGGAAGCCCAGAGGGTACCCTGGTATCCTCTAAAGAGCCCCAGAGCTGATCTCCTAGTGAAAAAGAAAGTGGAAGTGTTAGTAGCTCAGTCGTGTCTGACTCTTTGTGACCCCATGGACTGTAGCCCGCCAGGCTCCTCCCTCCACGGGATTCTCCAGGCAAGAATCCTGGAGTGTGTAGCCATGCCCTTCTCCCGGGGATCTTCCTGACCCAGGGATTGAACCTGGGTCTCCTGCATTGCAGGCGGATTCTTTACTGTCTGAGCCACCCTCATCCCGCCCAGTAAATGCCCCACCTCTCTGCAGAGGGAGCGTCTAGCACGTACATCTCCCCCGCCCACTTGCTCCGTTTCCCCTGGCCTCTCTTCCACGGCTCCCTTGGCCTTGGAGTGTACCAGGCTGCCCGCCCTCCAGGAGCTCAGGACGGAGGGCAGTGGCCACTGACCCAGAGGTCTGTACCTGCTGGGAGTTCATCCTGGAACCTGGGAAAGAACCCTTCAGGCCAGCCCTGGTGGGACTCCCTGGTCCACAGGCTGGTTCCCGCTGCCCTCTGATGCCCTCTCCTGGCCTGAGTGGGTTACTACAGCCAGCCCTGCCCACCCCAGGGACCCAGAATCCCCAGGCCCTGGTCTCAGCCCCACAAGAGCCCTCTGTCCACCTGCCCTGGCCTGGAGCCCATGCAGCCCCCGACCCCCACCACGAGGAGCTTTGGGGGTGGCTGTCAGGCTGCCCCACCTGATCTCTATGAGTGACTGAGGCACCTCTATAATCACAGACTTCTCCGGGGCAGACCTAGCAGCGAGCTTTAGGGTTTATATTCTTCTGCTCAGTGGCTTGCCACGTCTGGAGGTGTCTGGTTTCAACTTGATGGTCTTTGGAGTCCTAGCACATCTATGCTTGATTTCACAGGCAGGATGACTTCAGACGTCTGAAGGGTAAAGCCTGCAACGGTCCTGCCAAAACGTCCTTTGTGTGAAGCCCGGAATAGATGTCGCCGGCCGGGAAGTCCTCCAGCCTGAGGGGCGTCCCACATCTGGCGGCTGGAGCCCTCCGGGCACGTCCGTGTGTCCCTGAACGATGATTTCAGACCCTGATGAGGCAGCTGAGCAGTTCCGGCCCCAGGGGGCGCACCCCACACTCTCCACTCGCAGCCAAGGCGCTTGGGTGCTGAGCCGGGCTGGCTGGATGAGACGAGCTTGCCCTCTCCTTATGGTTCTTCTTGGATCTTGTGAGTGTTGATGGAAGCGAAGGGCTCCCTGTTGCTGTCCCTTCTAGAGGGTCCCATCACTGTCCCACTGGCCTGAGTTAAAGAGACATCACAAGTATGAACACCTTCTTCCTCCCTCCCTTCCTTCCTTCCTGTTTCCTGCCTATGAGTCCACTTGGGCTGCTGTAAGAAAACGCCGCAGACTGGGTGGCTTAAATCGTAGCAATGACTTTTCTCCCACTTTTGGAGGCTACAAGTCCAGGATCAAGCTTCTCACCAGCTTGGTTTCTGAGAACTTCCTTCTCGGCTGGCCAATGGCTGCCTCCTCACTGTGCTGTGTCCTCACGTGGCCTTTCCTCTGTGTTTGTGTGGACAGAGAGGGAGAGAGATCTGTCCTCGCTCCTTGCATTCTTATAAGGACACCAGTCCTATCGGATCAGCACCCCACCCTCATGACTTCAGTAAACTCTCTCCACCCCCTTACGAGCCCTGTCTCCAAATACAGTCACATGGGGCCCAACATATGAATTTTGAAGGGATGCGAACATTGAGTCTACAGCACTATTCATTTTGGTAAGATGAGCATAAAACAGAACACTCCAATAATTTACCCCTTCTGGAAGTCTCAGGTAAAATTGCCAAGGTTGCACTTACTGTTGGCTGAGACAGACAGCCTCGTCATGTGAGGATCGAATATTAGGGAGCATCTGGTGTGAAAGTATCAAAAGAAAAGAAAGAAAGAATGAGAAGTTGCTCAGTCGCGACCGACTCTTTGCGACACCATGGACTGTAGCCTAGGGGGCTCCTCTGTGCATGGGATTTTCCAGGCAAGAGTAGTGGAGCAGGTTGCCATTGCCTTCCCCAGGGGATCTTCCCAACAACCCAAGGATCGAACCCGGGTCTCCCACATTGCAGGCAGATGCTTTACCGTCTGATCTACCAAGGAAGCCGCCAGCTGTCAGTGCAAACACAGACTCAGGGCAACCAGCACAAAGCAACCCTGGGCCCTGTTCTCAGCGTGTGTCCCCCAGGAGCGGATGCTGAACGTATCTGATGCAAATGGTTTCTTTTGGGAGGCCATCCCAGGGAAGCGCCTGTAAGGGAGAGGGGCACTGAGGCAGGGGTCTGAGAGCACTGAGTAGGTCACCAAGTCAGTTTCACCACGGCGATCGGAGCAGTGCCCGCTGGGCGACGGGGAGGAGGGGCGTGCCTGCCCAGGGTCATCCCAGCCCGGGTGGAGGACACTGGCTTGCCATCCACCAACTCAGGCCCGGAGCTTGCGGTTACCTGAATCACTTCCGGTTACCTGAATCACTTCCCGTCGCAGCACCGGGTTCAGAGAGACCGTCTGCCATCATTCCTGCCTGTGCCCTGTGCCCCTGCGGTCGGTCCAGCCCCCAGCAGGGGTGCCACTGAGACTCCTGGCCCTGTGCCCAGACCTACAGGGCCCAGTGGCCACCCCTACCCCAACCCCATGCCCTGCTGAGCCGTTTTCATCCCCTCCCCCTGCCCGAGGTCCTCACCCCTCTTCACTATAGGGTCCGGGGTTAGGGACCATCTCTGTTCACTGTGCCCTAACTCTGGCAGGATCTTCAAAGGATGTGGGGAAATTCAGATACAAATTTAGTTCAGATGACTTCATTTTCTTAAAAAAGAATGCATTATGATGTTAGAGTCATCATTATGCTCAGTCATGTCCAACTCTTTGCGACCCCGTGGACTACAGCCCACTACGCTCCTCTGTCCATGGGATTCTCCAGGCAAGAGTCCTGGAGTGGGGCGCCATTCCCTATTTCTGGGGATCTTCCCAACCCAGAGACTGAACCCCCATCTCTTGTGTCTCCTGCATTGGCAGGAGGATACATTACCACTAGCACCACCTGGGGAGCCCAGATGTCAGGGTCACTACAGCGCTGTGGTAAGACTGTTCTGTATTGACAGGGAGATCAATGGCTCAAAGTGGAAAACGACAGAGGACTTCCCTGGTGCTCCAGTGGTTAAGACCGTCTTCTGTTTTTGAAATTTATGAAATTCTGCTTTGTAAATCAGTTCATTTATATCATTGTTTAAAAATTAGATTCCACATGTGAGTGATATCACATGGTATTTGTCTTTTCTCTGTCTGACACTTCATTTAGTAGGCTCATCTCTAGGTCCAGCCATGTTGATGCAAATGATATTATTTCATTCATTTTTTATGGCCAAGTAATATTCCATTGTATATATGTACCACATCTTTATCCATTCCTCTGTTGATAGACAGTTATGTTGCTTCTATGTCTTCAACTGGTGTTTGACTAAGATGCAAGGGCACCAGTCCAGGAAGGACAGCCTTTTCAACAAATGGTGTTGGAGCGAGGGGACATTCAAGGGCAAAGAAAGGAGCCTCAACCCAAGTCCAACACGTTTTACAAAAAGTCAATTACACCTGGAGCACAGACTTAACTTTAAAGTATAAAACCAATAAACTTGAATAAAAAAAGAGAGTATTGTAGACCAAGGGTTAGGTGAAGTGTTAGTTGTTTGACTTCACATCAAAAGCACTGTCTGTAACAGCACAAAAAAAAAAAAAAAAAAGGATAAGCCAGAGTATACCAAAACTGTAACTCTTGCTCTGTGCAAACCTCTGTTAAGAGGATGGAAGGAAACGCTGCATGCTGGGAGAATGTATTTGCAAACCACATAGTCAACAAAGGATTTGTATCTGGGGTATATAAAGCATTCAGCAGTGAAAAGTCCCCCAAACAATCCAATTAGAAAACGGGCAAAAGTAACGAACAGACATATCACCAAAGAGAGTGCACACGGCAAATAAGCTCGTGAAAAGATACTCACTGTCGTTGGTGGTGGTACTTTAGTCCCTAAGATCGTGCCCAACTCTTGCGACCCCACGGATTATAGTCTGCCTGGCTCCTCTGGACACAGGATTCTCCAGGCAAGAGTACTGGAGTGGGTTGCCGTTTCTTTCTCCAGGGGATCCTGACCTAGGAATCAAACCTGAGTCTCCTGCACCGCAGTCAGATTCTTAACCTACTGAACTATGAGGGAATATCATTAGTTTTTAGGCAAATGCAAACGAAATCCACAGTGACATATCATTACTATGAGTGGCTGAAACAAAAAAGTTGTGGTAACACCAAATGGAGAAACTAGATCATTTATGCTTACTGCTAGAAATGTAAGATGGGATAGCCCCTTTGGAAAGGAGTGTGGCGGTTCCTGTAAAACTTAACATGCCCTTACCATAGGGCCTTGCAATTGCATGACTGGGCATTGGTTCCAGAAATTTGAAAATGTATGCTCACACAAAAACCTGAATACAAGTGTTCATAGAAGCTTTATCTGTATCAGCACTAAACTGGGAACAACTCAGCGTCCTTGGAAGTGTGAAAGGTTGAACAACTTTAAACTGTGGTACAGCTGTGTGATGAAACACTTCTCAGCATAAAAGGGACGGACCACTAGTATGTGTGATCTCAAGGGAGTTCTGCTCTACGAAAAGAGTCAGTGTCCAGAGGCTACACGCTGAGTGACCGGGTTTAAGTAGCCTTTTGGACACGGCACGTTCACGGAGGGGAGGACAGATGGCTGGGCTTTAGGATCGAGGAGAGAGGAAAGTGGCTGTGGCTGAGAAAGGCATCCTTGTGACGGAGCCGGTTTGTGTCTTCACTCTGATGGAGGTTACAGGATTCAGAACATGTGGGAAGACTGCATGGCACGAATCACTCACACACACACACACACACACACACACACACATGTGCATCCGCACAAGTGCATGAAGCTGGTAAAGTCTGAATAAGGCTGATGAATCGTATCGAGGCCAATTTCTTGGTTGTGACACATATTATCGTTATGCAAAATGCTGCCCCTGATGGAAACTATCTCTGTGTTACTTCTCACATGTACATGTGAACCCACAGTGATCTCAAAGTAAAAAGTTAAAGGAAGCGAATGAGTTAAAAGAGATACGAAAACTTGTATGCAATATTCATAGCATAATTGCCCACAGTGGGAAAGCATGCAGCTACCTGTCAACAGGTGAGGGGGTAAGTCAAACAGGTCCTTTGCACCGTGGAATGCTAACGACCCCTCAATAAAAAGTGCTCCACTGGTGATAGCAGAGCGGCCTGAGTGGTTCTCACAGACACGCCGGGTGAGAGAAGCCAGACGCAGAGGACGTGGAGCATTTACACGACGCAAGCTCCAAAATGTGACTTAGGCAAGAAGCTGTCTGCAGCTGAGGGTGGGGGTGAGCAGAAGGGGCAGGAGGGGTCCTTGTGGGGGATGGAGATGCTCTCTGACCTCACTGAAGCGGTGGCTCATGGTTACACTTGTCAAAACCATGAAAAATGTACTTAATGTGCACAGGTGTACACACTCATCAGGAATCATGATCTGTTCATCTGTTGATGGACATGTATGTATATATATATATATATATATATATATATATGTATATGTATGTGTGTGTGTATACGTAAAACTGAATCACTATACTATATACCTAGAAGATAACTCGACATTGTAGATCAACTAAACTTCAGTAAAATTAAATAAGTACATATTCACTGAACTTTAGTTTTTTCTCTCCTTTCATGTAAAATATATAATTGAAAATGAGGATTTTCTTCTGCTTCTGGGTAAATTCACTAGAAAGTTTTCTCTCATACCCACTAATTACATATTAATAGAAAGAAAAAAATCATTGAAATATCCATTTGGAATGAGTGTGTTGGGGCATAAATTACAGATGATTGTAAAGGATAGGCTTCCCTCAGTCTGAGCAGA